GAAGACCAATCACCAATCCTTTCTTGGACAGTTTGTTGATGGTTTTGAAGTTGAGATGGCTGAGCTTGTTATGCCATTCCCAACTTAGATCTGAATCAGCTTTTGTTACCAAGCAGATTCCTTCCTTTGCAGTTTTCCAGTCAACAATGTACACGTCCTTCCTTCTTCTACCAGTGAGCACAATTTCATCATTTTTGACATCTCTGATCAAGCAGATGTCTTTGGAGAATGTTACATTATAGCCATTGTCACAAAGCTGGCTTGTGCTTATTAAATTGAACTTTAAACCCTTAACATAAGATATGTTTTGGATTGTAAGTCCTCTTCTTACTAAGTCTCCAGTTCCTTTGGTTTCTCCTTTCTTTTCTTCATTCCCAAATGTCACTTTGGGTCCTTCCCTTGCCATGTAGTTTGACAGCAGCCTTTTGCTTCCTGTCATGTGCCTGGAGCAGCCTGAATCTATGTACCATTGTGTTGAGTCAGCTGCTCCAGCACCCTCGTGTATTCATCAGTGTTGAGCAGCAGCCCACAAGTTAGTGGGCTTCTTTCCTTGAACAAGTTTAGGCATCCATGCCCATCTAGAACCATCTAATTCTAAGCAGAATGGTCTATAGCCATTTGGGGTGTTGTAGTTATATGGGATAGTGATAACCGCTTTCGCGGCGTTGTAGTAAAACGGAGTCTAACCTTTCGGTTTTTCCCCGAGTGTCGTGTCTCTTGAGGAATGGCGGAGAAGTTTCTTAATTTAATTTTAGTCACGGGCTATCGCTAATCGTTGGAAGCCTTTTCAATATAGGAAAGTGATTTTGTTCTATATTATGCTAAATTATAACTAGGAGCAAGGTGCAATTTAAAGATTAATGTATAAAGACTGATTATTCAAGGATGCAAATAAGGGCAATGAATTGAGTAATTAGAAATGGATATGTTCTTGGACCTCTTAATTAGGGAAATTAAGACTAAAGTTGGACTAATAATTTCTTTCCTCATAGACAAGAATAGAAACTATCTTCATTAATTTATCCTATTTCTAGGTATCATTAATGTGTTTAAAATGGTTGGCTTAAATTATATTCTAAACCCATAGACAAGGTAGAAATAATTTTCCAATATTTTAATTAATAAAAATAGCCAAATTCATTAACTAGTTAAACTCTTTATTTTAGCAATTGAATTTATTTCTCATAGACAAGATGTAAATCCTTTTCATTAAATTATCCTATTTCTAGGCCTTATTAATGTGCTCAAATATGGTTGGCTTAAATTAATTTCTAATCTCATAGACAAGTTAGAATTAATTTTCCAAGAATTTAATTAATGAAAATGGCTAACTATTATTAATTACTATTTCATCATTTTAAACAACTAGTCCAATTTATTAATTTTAACCCCTAATTTTAGGTCAACAAGTCAATCCATATTCCTTTTCTCAATTCATGCCCTAACAAATGTAGCTACTCATCATCATTTTTGCAATTAACAACATAATGATTAAATTCAACATTAACAAGGAATTAAACATGTATGAAAGCAAACAAAAAAAAAATTATATTATTGCACAATAAACTTGTAGGAACTAAAATATAACTTTCTGGAAATTTTCACCAATTTTTGAACCTAAAATCCAATTTTAACAACTAATTGATAATTTTCTCAACTTTAACTAGAAAATGCAAAAAGCAACTAAAAATACTCTAACTTCGTTATAAATTTTATTTTAACTACTGGTAGTGATATAACAATGAATTAAACTGAAATTAAGGCTGAACTAATTTTTTTTCTTTTTTTTGAGTATTTATTTAAATTTAAGCAATAATATCAAGTAATTACCGAAATTAATTAAAAATTATTTCTACTTCGTGAAAAATTAATTTCTTCAGATGAATAACTACCTTGTGGCTAGTGAACAACTATATAATTAATTGGAACGAATTCAACAACAATAACTATTTTATTTAATTTTTGGAAGGAAATGCGAAATACTTGAAAAATAATCTGGAAATTTTCGAAGAACAGATTGAAGAAACAAAGCACAGATTCAGATTCTACACGTTGAGAAGATGAAAATACATATAAAGAACTTACAATTTGGAGCTAAAATGAAGAAGATATAAAGATTTGAAGTTTCTCTCTCTCTAAGACCTTTGGAGCTCGAAAATGGAGGAAGAAAGGTGTTTTGAACTGATTTAGGGTTGGAAGAGGTGTGTTTTAGTTGAGGAAAAAGCCTGATTTTTATAGCAGAAGAAATCCCGAAGGCGCCCGGGCAGGCGGCCGCCTTCTGGCAGCCTCTGGCCGCCTGCCGTCCTGTCGCCGGCAGACCGTCGGTGGCCGGTCTCCGTCAGCTGTAGGCGGCCACAGAGGGCGGCCGCCTTCTGTCACAAATGGCCGCCTGCCGTCTTTTCGTTGGCAGATCGGATCCCGGCGGATCCTGGCCGCCGCAGGCGGTCCAGCAGGCGGCCGCCTGCCGTCCTGTCTGGCCGACCGGTGGTTGGTTTCGTCCCCTTGTGCCGCAGGCGGCCACCGTAGGCGGCCGCCTTCTGTCCAGTGTCGGCGGCCTACGGTCTTTTCCAAATTCGGTCAAAGTCAAAGGTTGACTTTCCAAAAATACCGTAGGCGGCCGCGAAGGCCTCCATTTTGGCCGCCTGTTCGGCCGCCTGTGAGATTATTTGTCCGGCTTGTTCCTTGTTTTGTTCTCTTCAATATTGTCTTCTGGACCACTTTGAAATAATGTTTCCTTCTTTCAGTATGATATCATTTGTTGCCCATATTGGCTCATTTTGTGCTCAATTGACCCGAAATCCCGCTAAACATATTATGGATGTGATTTTTACCTGATTTCATGAAACTTGAACCAAAATATATAAAATGTGTCTTTTCTTTCTATTTTTATTCAAAAATCGCTTAAATTTGATAAGAAAAATAAGTACAAAAATGGACTTATCAGATAGCTGTATAAATGTTTAGTTTCTTTCTCCTAGATGTAGGAGAAGAGGGGTTTCTTTTGGGTAGGATTTGCTGCCTTTTTGGTTGGTAGTTGGTCTTATTGGTGAGTTGCCAACTTGTTTGTTTGATAGGAAAGTTTTGTTTGTACATGTATTTGGATTTTGGTTTGGGAGCAGACATGTTCCTTCTTGTGGGAACTGTTTGGAAATTGGAGTGTTGGTGGCTTTGTGTTGTTGTTTTGATGGTATAGTTTGTGGACAGTTGGTTTTCTGAGTACTTGGTGGGGGATTTGTATCCAAGACCTCGGTTCTTTCTTCTAAGGATAATCTCAGAAGTGTGATCAACATTTTCACTTTTCAGGCTGAGATTATTTATTTTTGTTTTTAGCTCAATGTTCTCTTCTGTCAAGCCATTGATCTTGTTTAGGGCAACTAAGAGTTTATCATGAATGTTCTTAGTGTCTTGTTTTAGTCTTTCATTTTCAGATCTTAAGAGAACATGATGATTTTGGACCTTCTGAAAATCTTGAAGTAAAGATTCTAGTGTAATACTAGATGGTCCAGAATCATTTGAGCAATAGGAAGAACAGGAGGTTACCTCTACATCCTTGTCGTGGTTATCTGCCATGAGACATTTGAGTGAGCAATCTTCTTTGTCAGAGTCATCCTGAGATGAACTCCTGACTCTGCTGCTTGTATCCTCAGCATCTTGCCAGACTCCTAGACAGAGTAGTGCTTCTTCAGAGTCTTCTGATGAAGAGCTTTCATTACTTGAGCTGCTTTTATCACTTTGGGATTCTTCATTCTTTTTCTCACTTACAAAGGCTAGATGTTTGCCTTTGAAGTTTTTGAATCCGGTCTTGTGAGTAGCATTCTGCTGTCCTTGATATTTGTGTGCCAATGGGAGAGGGCACTCATTTTTGTAGTGTCCTGGTTGTCTACAGTTGTAGCAAAGAATAGTATTCTCATCTGATTTGGATCTTCCTTGTCTTCTGGATTGCTGAGGGAATGGCTTCTTTGGGGATGAACCTTCTTTCTTTATGAACCTTTTGAACTTTCTTACAAACATTGCAAATTGTTCATCAGTGAAGAGATTGTTGAGTGATTTTTCTGTTGATCTTGATGTGCCTGGTTTAGACACTAAGGCCAGTGTCTTGATCTCTTCCTCCTTTTCATCCTTTATCTCTTTCATTTCAAACTCATAAGCTTTTAAATCACTAAAGAGCTTATCCGTTGAAAGACTTCTGAGATCTCTGCTATCTCTCATGGCAGTTACCTTCATATCCCATCTTGATGGTAGTCCTCTTAAAATTTTGAGAGAGATCTCTTTTTGGGAGAGAGTTTTCCCAAGATCGGAGACTTCTGCAAAAATTTTAAGAAATCTGGATTCCATATCATGGATGGATTCATTTGACAACATTCTGAAATCTTCAAACTTCTTGAGAGCAATAGTTAGTTTGTTGTCCTTTTCTTGTTCATCGCCAGTCCCAATCTTTGTTAACTCATCCCATACGTCTTTGGCAGTTTCACATTTCCTTATTCTTGGAAATATGGATTCATCAACAGCTTTGAAGAGGATGTCTCTGGCAACATTGTCTAGATTGTTTCTCTTCCTATCTTCAGTTGTCCATTCCATTTTTGGTTTTGGAATGTAAATATCATCTGTTCCTTCAGTGGTTCTGGATGTGATGACCTTCATGATTTTGATGGGTCCATCAGTGATGACTTCTAGCATTTCATCATGTAGAACACTCAGATGAGTTTTCATTCTGATTTTCCAGTCATCAAATTTGTTGAAGTTGAACAGGAGATTTTTGGAAAGTTGATTGTCCATTCTTGAAGGTTTTGGGAGACGAGTGAGTTTTGGATTTTTAGTTTAAACTTAGTCAGAAACTGACTCTAGGAACACCCGCTCTGATACCACTTGATGGTCCCTGATAGAGGTGAAAGTCTAGAGGGGGGGGGGGGGTGAATAGACTTTCAAGACTTTTTGAACTTTTAAAGAGTTTCCCTCATATGTATGATGATCAGAAATCTTTTGGGAGATTTAAGATCGCAGCGGAAGTTATGACCTCTTTTAGACTGTGAATGGTAACTTTCTTATGAGAGGATAAGAGGGAAGAAGTATTTGTATTTTGGACAACTTATCTTTAGTGACTGAAGTGTATAGTAGAATGGAAGCTCTGCTTTGAAGATCTTTCAGTGAGATCTTCTGATGACCTTGAGTCAGAGACCCTTCAGTGAGGTCCTCTGATGATCTTGGATCAGAGACCCTTCAGTGAGGTCCTCTGATGATCTTGGATAAGAGACCCTTCAGTGAGGTCCTCTGATGACCTCGAGTCAGAGACCCTTAAGTGAGGTTATCTGATGATTTTGGATCAGAGAAAATAGATTGACACAAGATGTATCCTGGTTCAGAGGTGGTGTAATCCTCCTACATCCAGTCTCATCCTCTTTCAGATGGATTTCCACTAAAGTATTCAGCCCAATACAATTAGTGACCGTCTGGCTGTTATCACCAACTTGCTCAGACTTCAAGGTGTTTCACTAAGAGTACACACCACTCCAAGCTACTCAATCCTTTAGGTTTTTCTCAATTGATCCAGTGGGGATCAAAAGGTACTCTATCCTATTCTACCACACTTAAGGACTTAGACGACGCTATCCTTAGAAGTGTTTACAACAGTTTCAATATGAAACAAATTTCTAGCTTCCAACTAAAAACTAAACTTTCTGAGTTTATCAATGAGGATTTCTGTTCTAGAGAGTTTAGTGAAGCATGAGTCTAAGCAGAGAGTAGAATTTAATGAACACTTTCTCTTTTGCTAGATATCTTCTTTGTGTAGTATGATTTCTCTGCTTAGTGAACTCAGGAGCTCGTTTTTCTTCTCATGCTTATGCCCGAATTTATAGGCATCTCTGGTTGATTAATCTCCTCCGTTGGTTGAGAGGATTTAATCTTTGTCGTTGAGGCTTCTTGTACTTTCGTCTTCTTTTGTTGGAGCAGCTTATCTTCAGGCGCAATTGGATCAACTTGCTTCGCAGGAAATGTAAACCCATTCCTTTGGTCTTTTACGCACTATTCACCATCTAGTGGGTTTTTGTCTTCTCATGCAACTCTGCGTGTTGTAGTGTCCCATGCTTTTGTAGATGCTCTGGCCTTAGGTAAATATTGTGAGTTTGTGACCTTGGTCTTTCTTTAACAAATAAATTTAACTGGTAGGAAAAGAATCCTTTTTAAGGTAATTGAAATTACCTTATTGCATTTTATATTTCCAGTCAATTTTATGTGTTTCCGAAAGTGTACAGGTAAGATTGGTCACAATTGTACTAGTGACAAGAATAATTTTATAACAAGTAAAAACATACTGGATGGATTTGAATATCCTTGAAAGGTAGAATTTTACCTTATTGCATTTTAAAATTTCCAGTATATTTATTTGTTATAAAATTTGTACAATGTTAAATTTGGTCACTTTTACAAAGTATTCTTATCTAAGCAATTTGAGAGCATACTACTGTTTGAGTATACAATTTTCACAATAGAATCTAAACACAAGAGAAGGATGGCATCATCAAAACTATTTCTTATAAGAGTAGGTTACATCAAAGTCTGAGGGACCTAACAGAATGTGTCCTAGAACAAATTAGATCTCTCTTAATTCAATCTACATGCAATTGTAATTCTAGTCGCGATTCTAGGTTACAAAAGATATCAGTTAAATTATTCAAACCCAAATTAAATGACATTCATGCAATTTAACCGAAAAGAATCTTCAATCATGATTAACTCCTTCATCAACACCAAATCCCTAATTAAACTACTCACGCCTCATAATTTACGAATCAACATAATTGGGATGAATAGAATAAATTGTCATTAATTAAAAGAATTGAACTTACAAAGAATCTCAGGTTCTCGAAGTAAACAACGTAAAAACGCAGGTAAAATTCGTCCTAGGCCTCTCCACAAAGTTCGTAACCCTCAAAAAGGAGTATGGAGGCCTTATTTATAGAAAACAGGAGAATTTGAGCTGAAATAGGACAAAACGGGGCCAGGCACGACGCCAGGCACGATCGTGCCTGGGACTGTGCCTGCGGAGAATGCGCGCGTCTCGTTTGCAGGCACGATCATGCCTGGCTGGTAGAATGTTTGCGTGCCTTCCTTAATGCAGGCACGATCGTGCCTGACCTTTTCTTCATCTTTTTTCGTGGTTTCTTGCTCCAAATGCTCCCGGATGCTTACGAGGTCGATCCAAGTGTTCTTTCTTCATCAGAATTTCGTCGTGAATCTCTCGGTGACCTCCAAATCTCTCAAATCTTTCTTGAATGCCTTCAAATCCATCCCGAATGCCTCTCAAGCGCCAATTGCCGGACTCTAACTTCTTCAATTCAACTCCAATTGCAACGAAACTCGATCCAACACCTGATAATCACAACTTGGGCTAAAATTGAGACTTGCAACGTCTTAAATCTAGGAAAAACCATCAAAATCCGACTCCAACACGCATCAAATGCGTGTCTAATTACGGACTTATCATCGCTCTTGAAAAAACGTTATAGCAAATCCATTAAGACCATCGAGTCTTAATCTTATGTGTGCTTTACAGCCAACCCGATTTGATACACGACGACGCCTCTATTTTTTTTCTTTCTCCGGAATAGGATGGGAAGGTTCTGGTTGCTCTGGCAAAATGTGAGCCTCTACGTCATTATGTGAGCATTCTGGCTGTTCATTACTAACATCGCTAAACAGAGGAGCATGATTGGCTTCTACCGGATTGGGTTTAGCAGGATTTTTGAAACCCGCTCTATTGCACACAACATATTTCCACACAACAGTACGTGTCCGTCCTAGGCCGGCGGCCCTTAGTTTGAGAACCAATACGAGAGTCGAAGCCACAAACACTGCCTATAAAACTCAATACCGTCCTCAAGGGTTTTGAATACCATGCCAAGCCTTGGTTGGAATGTTTCATCACATTCAGGGATCCAATGCTTAGTTAACCCAGGAGATATTTGTAAAGCTTCTACACGAGTAAAAAAAGAAACATAAACATTGAAAGTTTTTCAAAGAAAATAAAAACACGGACATAACAAAAAATACATCTAGTGCTAAACGATGAAACTTGACGATGAAACTTAGTTAACACAGGTAAGGAAAAATATGCACAAAAACAATGGAGCTTCACACAAAAAAGTATTGGAGATAGTAAGGAAAACGAAACGAAAAGGAAGATAAAAAGAAAAATACGCACAAAACTCAAAAGCAGGTGAAGAAAAATGAATCTTTATCCATTAATAGAGCTTCGGTGTTTTTGGGGAGGAAGAGATAGTCAGGACGTCGAGTAATGAGGGTTTTCTCGCACTTAAAATGGTTGTAGAAAAGTGGTTGAAAGTACGAGTATCGTCTCCACAGGGACGGACAAAAGGGAATTAAAGATTAACTAAATTCAGCGATTAAAAAGAAATAAATAGAATAAAATGCAATGGTGCGAGATTGGTTGATTGAGTAAAATAAAACTAACGCTAATGAGCAAGTAAAAAGATTGGGTTTTTCCTTAATTAACGACGAAGGGAACCTGAATTGATTCCGGGGTTAACCAAATTTCTGGCAGAACAGGCTTAATTACATGAATTTAATTTAATTGAGCCTAGCTAATCATTACTAAATTCTTACCGCTCTCGCGGCGTAGAGTACAATAATTTAGGAGACCAGGCTGATCTCTCATGCGACAGGATCCTAAATTATTGCCAAGACGAGCGAGCTTACGGCCCCTTAATCGCTACTAATCTCTTAGCGAACGATTAAGGAGGCGTTTACTTCGCTGCTAAAGTCACAGTTAGGTTAGTAAGACAGGTGAAGTAAACACGCACGCTGCTTAAAAAGCCGCTTACTAACCGAAATAGGTGCTTAAAGTGCCGCTTACTAAGCCTACCACACCCCCATGTATTAATTAAGCGGCACTTTAAGCTTTTTCAGTTTCCGAATTTACCCCTTGCCCTTACCCTATTGTTACCCCTGACCCACCTACCTACCGACCCCACCTTGACCCCAACCCCACCTACCCCACCCCCACCCTACCCTTACCCTTACCCCACCCCTACCCCCTACCTTACCTACCCCACCCCTACCCTACCTAACCGACCCCCACCCTACCCTTACCCCACCTACCTGACCCCACCTTACCCCTACCCTACCCCATCCTACCCCTACCCGACCCCCACCCTACCACTACCCTACCTACCAGACCCCACCCCTACCCTACCTACCAGACCACAAACCTACCCCACCCCTTACCCACCTACCCAACCCCACCCTACCCCTACCCTATCCCGACCCCACCCCTACCCTTACCCTTACCCCACCCCTACCCCCCTACCTTACCTACCCCACCCCTACCCTACCTAACCGACCCCCCACCCTACCCTTACCCCCACCTACCTGACCCCACCCTACCCCTACCCGACCCCACCCTACCACTACCCTACCTACCAGACCACAAACCTACCCCACCCCCTACCCACCTACCCAACCCCACCCTACCCCTACCCTATCCGACCTCACCCTACCCCTACCCTGACCCTACCCCATACCCCGCCTGAACCCACCCTACCTACCCGAACCCACCCTACCACTACCCCACCTACCAAACCCCACCCCTACCTTACCTACCCGACCCACCCTACCACTACCTGACCGCAGTCACCCCACCATACTCTTACCCCACCTACCCCATCCCACCATATACCCCGACCCCACCCTTTACCCCCACCCTATACCTAGGGTGGTGGGGTTGGGGTGGTGGGGTCGGGGTGGGGCCAATGTGATAGAGGCGCTAGGGGCAGAGTAGGTGCGGTGGGATCGGGGGTAGGGTTGCGGCAGAGTGGGGTCGGGTCGGGTAGGGGTAGGGTGGGATTGGGTAGGGTAGTGGTAATCGGGGTAAGGTAGGGTAGGGGCGGGGTTGGGGTAAGGTGGGGTCAGGGTGGGGTCGATGCGGTAAGGGGGGGGTATGGGGGTAGGGGCCTATGGGGTTGGGGGTAGGGTCGCGGTAGGGTGGGATCGGGTAGGGGTAGGGTCGGGTAGGTAGGGTAGGGGTAGGGGGTAGGTGGGGTCAGAGTAAGGTAGGGTGGGTAAGGGGTTAGGGGGTATGGGTACACATTTATATTATATACTTGTGTTCATGAATGTTTGTGTGTGTATATATGTATAGGGTTATTTTGGACATTTTAATGTTAAGCGGTGTTTTAAACCGTTTGAAGTAAACACAGTCTTACAACATTGTTTATTTTATGCACCGCTTATTAACACGGGTCTTAATAAGCACCGTTTAATAACCGGTGAAGTAAACGCCTCCTAAGTGTGTGTGAATGTGTCCTAGAATAAATTAGATCTCTCTTAATTCAATCTACATGCAATTGTAATTCTAGTCGCGATTCTAGGTTACAAAAGATATCAGTTAAATTATTCAAACACAAATTAAATGACATTCATGCAATTAAACCGAAAAGAATCTAGCCTTCAATCATGATTAACTCCTTCATCAACACCAAATCCCTAATTAAACTACTCACGCCTCATAATTTACGAATCAACATAATTGGGATGAATAGAATAAATTGTCATTAATTAAAAGAATTGAACTTACAAAGAATTCCAGGTTCTCGAAGTAAACAACGTAAAAACGCAGGTAAAACTCGTCCTAGGCCTCTCCACCAAGTTCATAAAACTAAAAAGGGGTATGGAGGCCTTATTTATAGAAAACAGGAGAATTTGAGTTGAAATAGGACAAAACGGGGCACGGCACGACGGCAGGCACGATCGTGCCTGGGATCGTGCCTGCGGAGCATGCGCGCGTCTCGGTTGGAGGCACGATCGTGCCTGGCCAAGACACGATCGTGCCTGGCCAAGACACGATCGTGCCTGGCTGGCAGTAGCTCTGCGTGCCATCCTCTTCCAGGCACGGTCGTGCCTGGCCCAGGCACGGGCGTGCCTGGACTTTTCTTCATCATTTTTCTTCGTTTCTTGGTCCAAATGCTCCCGGATGCCTACGAGGTTGATCCAAATGCTCTTTCTTCATCAGAATTTCATCGTGAATCTCCCGGTGACCTCTAAATCTCTCAAATCTTTCTTGAATGCCTTCAAATCCTTCCCGAATGCCTCTCAAGCGCCGATTGCCGGACTTTAACTTCTTCAATTCAACTCCAATTGCAACGAAACTCGATCCAACGCCTAATAATCACAACTTGAGCTAAAATTGAGACTTGCAACACCTTAAATCTAGGAAAACCATCAAAATCCGACTCCAACACGCATCAAATGCGTGTTTAAATACGGACTTATCATCGAGCTTGAGAGATTTCATGTACACGGAATGACTTTCGTAACTGAAAAGGAAAGGAATCAAACATTTAATTGATTGACAAAATATAATGGAAAAAACAATGAAGGAAAGCTGCGTACTGCATAAAAGGAAATAAAATTTGGAAGGACCATCTTGGCCTGCGCATACACACGTGAGAAGCTGAAAAAATCAATTGATCTAATGCCGAGGATTGTTTCTTATTTATCACATTAGATGGCGTTTTTATTTGAACCAAACTCTCTCTCTCTCTCTCTCTCTCTCTCTCTCTCTCTATATATATATATATATATATATATATATATTATAGATAGAATTTGGTTCAAATGAGAACAACTCTTAAAATAAGAAATGAGAACCAATCCTAACCGTCTATTTCAAGGTTTTGCATCCTTGGATCTAACTTATACGTGTGGGTATTTTAGTAATAGATCTAAGCTATTTATTATGGTAACTAACTTTCCTTCCATTCGAAACAATGACATCCGTTATTTATGGAAGCATCATTAATAGGTAGTCTTCTATTTCATAATACTAGTGAACCACATTTCATTTATAAAAATTGGACCAAAGTTGAAATGAATATATTGTCAGAGGAAATGGTCAATTGAATAAATCAACTTGTATGAAGTGGAGTAAAGAGTACACGATATTGCATTTGACATTTATAAGTTCATAGACTCGATTATTTAGTGTTAATTGAGTACAGTTGTTATATTAACACATCAATATACCCGAGTTAACTAACAAAATTCTGAATAATGGACCTAGTTTATGACGTCGACTTTCACGAATTTGACCAAAAAGGAAAAGTCGACCTTCGTAGGTCGACCTGCATGGGATATCGGCAGGGGTGCATCGATGTTTATAAAATAAGTACCTCCAGAATCAGCCGTATGGTCAATAAAAAAGCTGAAACATAAAAAAATTGAACCGAAACAACTTTTTAACCGTAGCGAGATAACAATACAACCAAAAAATAAATTGAGTAAAAATGAAGATGACTACAGGAAAGGATAATTTCGATGAAACAAAAAAGAATTAGAAAAGGAAGAAGGAAAAAACATATAAATGGAAAAAGGCAAAGGAAAGTACTTTCGTAAATGGATCAGTGAAGTAAAGAGAAAGTTGCAGAAGAAAATAGGGAAGGTCGACAACAAATCTGCGGAAGAAGAAGCGGAAGAACCGATCAAAGAACAAAAGATATGGCATTGCTACGAAGAAGGAATACGCAGAAGAAGGGAGACGACGAACAAAGGCAAAAACCGAACAAAAATAAGTTCCCGTTTGGTTAGCTCTTGAGGGGCTGCCAATTCATCTACAAGACAAATCAGCTCTCTTTGAGATTGCTTCTCTAATTGGAAAGCCGCTAAAAATTGATGAAGCCACCGCAAATCTATCCAGACCTGCGGTGGCTAGGGAGTATGTGGAGATTGATCTCACTAAGGAGATGCCAGCAAAGATTTGGATAAATTGTGGGTCTCTGGGATTTTTTCAACCTATTACATACGAGAATAGGCCGGATTATTGCTCAGACTGTCTTCATTTAGGACATACTCAGCACAAATGTCCTAAAAAGAAGCTTGAGCAATCTATGGAGATTGGCTAGTCAAAAGAACTCGATCAAGCCAAAGAGATTGCCTTTCCTAAAGGAAAAAAAGAAAAATGGGTGAAGAAAAAACAGAGTATTACAACTGATAAAATTTCAAGGGAAGCAAAAGGAAAAGAAAAGCTTGCGTATCAGACAGATCACAATTTGCAGTCTACTTCTAAAGTTGTGTTGGAGGAGGTTCTTTCTGATAGTGATACTGAGGCTGAGGAAATCTTCACTGTACTGAAGAGCCACCTAATAAAATAGCTGGGAGCCAAATCAGTACTGAAGAGAGAATAGATGATGAAGTTTTTAGAAGCATAAAGAACTTGTTGGAAGCAGACTTACCGGGAATTGCTAAATCAGGTCCCAGGGAGATTGTTGGTTGTCAAGATGATATGCAGCTCAATATGTTGGAGAAAAATTTAGGTGCCAAGCCTCTGGTTGTCGGAGATTGCTACTCTGAGGGGAGGAAGAATTACCGGTCAATCCTGAAACCTTCATGGAAGGATGGGATGCAATATGTGAGGGGGTGGCCTTCATTGTCAATAACCAGTCTTCTGAAAGTGATAAAATTGAGTTTGCAGAGTCAGCTCATCATTTTGAGGGGTTGGTTGAAGTTTTGGTTGTCCAGGAGACCAGAATACCTACACAGGTTGCTATAGCAGATTCACAAGTAGAAGAAAGTCAGGCTGCAGTAAATCAATCTACTTATGATCATGATAAAGATAATAGAAAAGATGTAGACAAGAATCACTCCAAGGCACATAGAAAGCAAGTTCAGACAGATTTTCAACAGAAGAGAACCACAAGAAGTGTGACTAGGGGGGCAGGAAATGTTTCCCAATGAATTGCTTAATATGGAATGCTAGGGGTCTAGAATCCTCCGGTTCTAGACTTGGTTCCCTAGTTAGTCAATGGAGATTGTAGCTTGTTATTATCATTGAACCTATTGTTGCTGATAATAAGATTGATCATTACAAACAGATTCTGGGCTATGATAAAACAATAAACTCATCAATCAATAAGATTTGGCTTTTTTGGAACTCGGCTATTGTGGATATAAATGATTTAACATGGAATGAGCAGT